AAATTTTTATAAAAATAAAAAATATATAATATATATATATATATATATATATATATATATATATATATATATATTTTAATATCAGCAATAAAATTCGAAACTAAAACATCATACACGTCATCGTCATCTTAATTCTGCACACTAACCTAATCAAGTAATTCTTTCCATTCATAGTAATTTTTTTTTTGTGTTTAATAAAGTTTCGAGATATTTATTAACAATCGATTTGTTTTATTTAATCAGAGGGAGCAATAATTGGTTTAATTGTTTATTTCCTCCGTGTAATAATAACTAGTATGGTGGTATTTGATTTGAAATACATATTATATAATAATAATATTTTTAAACTATATTTTATTTATATTTAGAAATCATTCTTATTTTTATTTTATAACAATATAAAATTTTGACCGCATAAAAATTATAAATTAATGTATACAATAAAAAATTTAATATATTTATTAACTTATTATTATTAATGTATATGATATTTAAGAAAATTGTTAAATAATATTAATAATAATATTATCTTTTACACAAATCTTTAATATTATGAAATTATAAAAAAAAATTGGTAAATTCACATACATCTTTTATCAATATACATTAATTATTACACTATAGCATGTAATATAAATTTTGTTTTATTTTATTTTTACAACACCTTATCTTATGATAATGAAAATATCACTATAAGATTATATAAAATTAATGAATTATATTATTTGAAATATTAAACTAGATAATTATATTATTTTATGATCAATAAATAATATTTTAATAAAAGATAATTTTAATAAAAACATTTATAAAAAACATAAGAACAACTAATAACAACAACACAATTATTATATCATGATTATTATTATCTTGTTATCATTACTGTTGTTACTATCATCAATATGGTTATTATTGTTGTCATTAATAAAATAGTTATTTCATATATTTATTATCGATATTTAAATAAAAGAATTGAAATATATATTTTTTTAAATTACATAAATTAAAAAAGTGAATTTTATATTTAAAAGATAAAAAGTACATGTATCTTGTATTAAGAAGATATAAACATAGTTAATCTTAAAGATAACATTTTTTTTTTTTGTATATTTTGTCCAGTGATAGCGTGATTGTGTTCTAGAAGTTGAACCAGAATTAGGTGGTGTTCCACGGGATTTGTCTTATGAACCCATTAATTCTTTTCAGTTTTTATTCTTTGAATGAACATGTAACATGTTCACCTGGCACCAAACGGGGCCACTTTGGTTAATAATACATTTATGCAATTTCGTCATGCATGACGTTTGCACATGTATGGTTTCTTCATCTTTATCTAATTATAAACCTTTTTAAAATTACTTTTTTAAGCAAATCTTTATTTTAATAAGTGTTACTTTGTTTAATCTCACGTTGCGGACTAGTGTCCTTGATGAATCAAAATATAAAAATATTATTAAAAATTTATACATGTGAGTGTCCTACTATACTTTCCTATAAAAACTTTTTTTATTTTTTAATTAGTGCACTTAAAACTTTAGTCAATGTTTTTCTAATTTAATTTTCTAATTCGTAAAAAGATTTTATTTTAATTCTTAATTTTATAAAATATAATTTATTTTTAATATAAAATGATAGAAAATAAAATTAAATATTTTATAAAATTAAAATAAGTATAATTTATATTCTAAAAAATAATAAATTAAAATAGTGTTCACTTATCTATATAGTTAGGCACTGTTAAATTTAATTATCAATAGTATTTTAACACTTATACTTTTTAATTAAATATTAAAACTTAATTTTTAACATAAAATTATGACTGAAGTACTTCTTTATCTTTATAAGAGTTAACATAGTGGAAATAAGTTATATTTTTTTATTGAATAAGAAAATATAGTAAAAAAAATTACTGGATTACAATTAGTTTCCTTCAGAAAAATGCAAATTCTATGTACAGGAATGCAAAATAAATATGTGCTGAGTGTATCTATTAGTATTTGGTACAAGAAATAATTTAACATTTTTGAGAAAGTGATTTAAACATTAAATTTTCTATATTTATTATTCAACGAAAAAATAGGCAAAGGTATAAATAAGAGAATTCTTAAAATTCTAATTTGTGAATAAATATAAAAAATCTCTAACTTTTCCTTGAAAATTTAAACATTAAATTTTCTATATTTATTATTCAACGAAAAAATAGAAGAAAAAAAAAGTATACCTAAGAGAATTCTTTAAATGCTAATTTGTGATCTTTTGCATGAAAAGAATGACAAAATTATCTCGCTCCCTCCCTCTATGTGTGTATTAATTAGTAGTATGTTGTTCAATATTTTACATTTTTGAAAAACTGATATTGACATAATATTTCTCTGTTTGATTAAAGAAAAAAAATTACTATATATAAGAGAATTTTAAAAATTCCGATTTGTAAATAAAATTAAAAAAATTCCATTAACATTTTTGAAAAAGTGATATAAACATAATTTTTCAATATTTAATAAAATAATAAAAAGAGTTCTAAGAGAATTCTAAAAATACTAATTCGTCAATAAAAGTAAAAGGCTAAAACTTTTCAATGGAAATAAATGACAAAGTTATTAAATATCCTCATTTATCTTTTTTTTATTATAAACACTCATTTATTTTTAATTATTATTACTATTATAATAATAATAATAATAATTATTATTATTATTAACAGTTTCATAACATGTTTATTTGTTTATTTATTATTGTTAATTAGATTGCATTCTCTTGAATATTTTATTTAGAACAAACATGAAAGTAAAATTTTGTTGAGAATAAATACAAAACGTTTTAGGAAAATCAAGTGATAATAAATCATATATTATAAAATACTTTAAAGTTGTGTTTTAAGTTCCATAAAAATTATATAACTAATTAAGTTTATTCACTTCTGTTGACTAAAACTTATTATTGAATTCAGCTTCTTTTTTATTTTATATCTTTTTATGCAACTTGTGTTGGGAATGAGGTAAATGATTAAATTGAATGAAAATTTTCAAAGAGGTTAGAAATCACTCTCACTTTGTATGATATTGTATCTTATCTAAATATAATTTTTTTTAAAAGACACAACATGCTCGAATGGGATGAAATCGCTATGACTTTACATGTTACTTTTTTTTTTTTTGAAAGCATGGTGTTCTTTTTTTCTTTTTATTTTTCACTAGCTTTATCTCATTGGAAAATCTTTTACCTCCTAGGATGAATTTATCTTTTAGTTAAAATGTTAAAAAAAATAAATTCATAAAATGTTGCTGTTAAAAAATTAGTTCCCAAAAATATTTTCATTCAAAATATTCATTGAAATTTAATATATAAATATTTATTTTATAAATAGTGAAAGTTTAAAAGTTATAAAGATTAAAATCACATCAGGTAGGTAACATCTTCAATGACATTCCAATTTCATGTCAGTACTCTTTTATTATATTAATAATTTCAATTAAATATTAGAGATTGAATTAATAAATAAACTAAAATTATCTATTTCAAAGGATTAAAATTGGACAATTAAAAATTAAATAATGGAAATTATCCGAATACGGTACTAGTTTGAAGGTATAGAAAATGTCTTTTTTGTAGGGCACAATCAGAAATTTAAATTTTTTTTTGAAGAATTCAACTATCTATTAATTATACTATTTGATAATATGAATTGTAATTAAACTATAATAAAATGTCTTATTAGAGAGAGTAAAATGTCACCAGCAAAATTGAAATTAGAAAGAACCATAGATGTCAAAGTTATTAGTGGAAAGTCCATTTGATTTGGGGGTGTCAAATCGCCCCCATTGAATTTAACTTATGTACACACATAAAATATAGACTTTTTCAAAAATAATAATGTATTTTTCCCTAATAATATGATATATTTTTTCCCAATAATAAGGATGTAATCTTTAAACAATATATCCTTCCAATTGACTTGTGTAGTTAGCTTATTGATACACAAGAATTTATACAGAAATTTATGTGATGCTTCCAACTGAGATAATATTATAATATAACAAATAATTACTAGCACTGTTAGCTACGCATCATCCTCTTTTCCAAATTTCTTTTTCTCACTTAATACAAGTGACAACATCTAAGCACTGAGTATATATTAAAAAAAAAAAAAGTAGTAGGACCAACGCCAACCAATTATATGATAAAAAGCAAAAATTAGTACGAATAAATCCGAAAACTACTACCACTGAAATCTGTAGGCCCATACATATGTAAGAAAGTTAGAAACACGTGCAAGTGAAACAATTCCATGGTAAAATCTTGCTATTATTGCCAACAAACTATTGCAGGTAATTCTATCTTTCACATATTTTTGGTTTTCCGTTGTGATTGACAATATTACATTGATGATAACATGAATCAATTTTCTTACTTGCATTGATCTTTCTGTTGAGAACTTCTAAAAAATATAGAATAAAGAAAAAAAGAGAGAATGGAATTTGACGAAGAGATAAAACTCATACTGTTGAAGCACTTGTGTGAAGTTGGACTAAGGAAGCATAAAATCCACCACTGACGTTAATGAGTGTGTCATGCTTCCCCTTCTCCACTATAACTCCATTTTTCACAACAGCAATCACATCTGCATTTTTTATTGTAGATAAACGATGTGCCACAATCACAGTGGTCCTGTTCACCATGACTTTGTCTAATGCATCTTGAACAACTCTTTCTGACTCGGCATCTAATGCACTTGTAGCCTCATCTAGTAGCAATATCTTTGGACTTTTAATTATGGCACGAGCAATTGCTATCCGTTGCTTCTGCCCACCAGACAATTGGGTTCCTCTCTCGCCCACTATAGTGTCATAACCCTATCAAATAAAAACCATGAAGTCAAACACATTTGCCAATAAGAACAATTCACCCAATAACACACAAGTCTACATGAAAATGTTGCAAAGACATCAAAAAATAAAGAGAGAAAACATTATGTCGGCCAGTTTTTTTTTAATTGATTATTTTTGTTTTTACCTTCTGTAAGCCACTAATGAATTTATGGGCATTGGCCAATTCTGCTGCTGCTGTGATTTCTGCTTCAGTAGCATTGCCACCTTTTCCATAGGCAATATTGGCACGTATAGTTTCATTGAACAATACTGGCTCTTGGCTTACAAGACCCATTTGCTGCCTTAACCACTTGAGTTGTAACTCCCGAATTTCTACCCCATCAAGTGTGATTTGCCCTGATTCAGGATCATAAAATCTTTGCAACAAGGCAATCACTGTGGATTTTCCGCTTCCACTTTCACCAACAAGAGCCACTGTCTGGAACAACAATTTTGATTGTGACAATTAGTTGCTATGCTACATACATGAATTTCAGCTATACCTTTTGAAATGAAATGGAATTAAAATATAAAACTTCAAACTCTACCTTGCCGGAATGGATAGTCAAGCTGAGGTCTCGAAAAATCTGTATATCAGGCCTAGATGGATACTTGAAGCTCACATGACGAAGCTCTATTTCTCCCTTAACGCTATCCAGGGTGGTGCCAGACTCATCACTAGGATCTATCTTTGACTTCTTATCAATTATTCCAAATATGGAAGCGGTAGCTAACTTGACCTTTCTTGAATCAGGAGCAAAGGAGCTTGATTGGGAAATTCCAATAGTTGCCATAGTTAATGCAAAGAAAACCTGCAAAGCATGAAAACAACATTACTTTCAAGAATTAAAAAAACATAATGTTGAAATGTAACACTCTCAAAAGTCTATATTGAATGTTACAAGTATGAAAGAGTAGGTACCCGGAAAACATCTGAGAATTTTGTCTTCCCAGCGTCCACAAGTCTAGCTCCAGCGTAGAAACTGGTTGCATAAACACAAAACAGTAAGAAAAATGAAATCCCAAATCCAGATCCGCTGATCAACCCTTGTCGTATTCCTGTCTTCATGGGACCCTCACATTTCTTCCCGTATAGTTCCATAACCTTGTCTTCAGCACAGAAAGAAGCAACTGTTCTTATGCTTCCAACTGCATCATTAGCAACTTGGCTTGCTTCCTCGTACATCATCTGCAGAAACAAACATCCATTAATATATTGAGAATTTGTCACATAGTCTGAATAATGTAGTTAGTTACTCATAACTTTCTATAGCAAATGAAAAATAAAACTAACCTTTGCATCTGCACTAAATCCCTTCATGAATTTCATTTGAACATACCCATTTAGTCCAATCAGGGGAATCAATACAAGAATAATAAATGCCAGCTGCCAAGATGCAACAAAAGCAATAATCAAACCCGCCAAAGCAGATGCTAAATTTTGAACCATTAGTCCCAGCGCATCACCAACAAGGGCACGCACAGAAGCAGCATCTGCTGAGAGCCTAGCACCAATGGCACCACTTGAGTTTTCAGGCTCATCAAACCAACCAACCTCCATGCTGACAACCTTCTGAAAACACATTAGCCTGATTCGTTGGATCAACTTGCATCCTGCCACAGAAAAAAAGTATCCTCGTGCTGGAATTATCAGAAATGATGCAATACCAAGGGTCATAAACATCAGTGCCCAAAACTTGGAGTCCTTTTTCAGCTCATCAAATGGTTCATAAAATGTCTTAATGACACTGGAAATCAGCACTCCAAATATTGGAAGTATAACACCATTTGCTATGGCTGCTACACATCCAAGCAGAAGAACTGGAATCTCTGGCTTGTTGAGGGAAGCAAGGCGGCTGAGTGGAACCTCTGGTGCTTCTTCTTTGGGTTGTGAGTCTTCATTTTCAGGATCAGGAACTTTAATTCCTGTGGGTAAACCAAAGGAAACTGAAAATGAGTGGTGGCTACTATTCCCTAAGGATGAGCCCCTACTAATAGATCTTCGAAGTGACCTCCTTTGACTTGATTGTCTAAAGGATTCTACAGATAATTCACTCTTCCTGCTATTGTCTGCATTTTCTTCTGACTCCTTGTTTATTTCTTGTAGGCGTATAAGTTGAGAGTAAGCTCCCTCAGGATCCTTGAGTAATTCAGAGTGTGTTCCTGATCAATAAACACGCAATGTTTTTAGTAAGATATATGCAAACAAAATTGTGATGAGTTTGTATGCATGAATTGTATCAGAATCAAAGAGTTAATCATCTCTAAATGATCGACAATTGAATCAATGGAAATTGAAAAGACGCGTTTTCAATGAACTTGTATGGTACCTTTCTCAACCATCTTCCCTCTATGAATGACAGCAATCATATCAGCATTCCTCACTGTGCTCAAGCGATGTGCCACTACAACAGTAGTTCTGTTGACCATGATCCTGTCTAGAGCCTCTTGCACTATCCTCTCAGACTCTGCGTCAAGAGCACTTGTAGCTTCATCTAGAAGTAAAATTCTCGGATTTTTCAAGATTGCTCTTGCAATCGCAATGCGTTGCTTCTGGCCACCAGACAACTGAGTTCCATGCTCACCAACCATTGTGTTCAATCCCTGCATGCAGAGGTAAAAATCTCAATATTACTTGAACAAGTTCCAAGGTTACGAATCAAGAAATAGCCTTGGAATTGAAGTATTCTGGCTAGAACATAGAACCTGTGGAAGTTTATCAATGAATTTAGCAGCATTTGCAAGTTCAGATGCAGATCTTATCTCTTCAATTGTTGCTCCCTCCTTTCCATATGCAATGTTATCCTTAATGCTAGATGCAAACAACACTGGCTCCTGGCTGACAAGGCCAATTTTACCTCTGATCCACCTAAGCTGCAATTCTTTCAGGTTCATGCCATCAATAAGAACTTCACCTGCCTGTGGATCATAGAATCTTTCTAACAAGCTGATAACCGTAGACTTTCCGCTTCCACTTTGTCCAACCAATGCTGCAGTTGTACCACTAGGTATATGAAGAGAGAATCCATCAAATATCAGCTCCTCAGGTCTGGCTGGATAACTGAAATATACATCCCTTAACTCTATTTCGCCTTGAATATCCTCTAATGTTTTTCCACTTGGATCAAAAGAATCTATCTCTGGCTTCCTTTTAATTGTCTGAAACATTTTGTAAGCTGCGGCCTGACCTGCAGCAAAGGCACTCATACTAGGGGATGCCTGTCCAAGAGACCTAAGATACGAAAAAATAATATCACGTTGGATTTTGACCAAAAAGCAATGAACTGTCAAACTTCCTTAGCAGCTGAAATACGTTAAAATAAAAATGATACTTACATTGAGGCAGTTAGCACGGCAATAATCACATTAATCACTGTGCCCCCGTTATATCCTTTTTCCATTATCATCTTTGCGCCAAACCATACAGCCAAAGCATAACCACCGAAAATAATAAACATAACTGTGCCTAGACCCACTCCGGCAATGGTACCTTCTTGAACCCCTGATTTGTAAGCATCTAACAGAAATTCGCTATAACTAGATACTGCTTGCTTTTCCCCAGTAAAAGATACAACCTGGAAATATACACAGGAAAAATAATATGATTATCATGGCACTGCAAGAAATAAACACACTCAATCAGAAATTATAGGATTTCACAGATATCTACTTAGGTTTGAACAAACAACATACGGTTCTTATTGAGCCAATTGTCTGTTCAACCACATGTGCAGCTTTTGCATAAGCTGTTTGACCTCGAGAAGCCATCCTGCCTATGATGACAGCCAGAGCAGCACCTGACAACGCAAGAAGTGGAAGAGTAGACAACATGACAAGAGTAAGAAGCCACCCTCTGATAAATGCTATCACAAATCCCCCAAAGAATGTTGCTATTAGCTGTATAAACTTCCCAACCTGTTGAAAAAAGCAAATGTTCAACATACTCAAAGTGGCTCTGTGCCCCTAATTTTCATTAAAGCCTACAAAATTTAACTCTTGCATTTTGCAGCATGTCATACCTTCTCTCCCATGGCATCTTGTATGAGAACAGTGTCACCTGACATCCTCCCTACCACCTCTCCAGTGTTTGTTTCCTTATCAAAGAAAGCAATATCTTGTCTTAGAATAGTTTTCAAATACAATCCCCTTATCCGTGCAGCCTGCCTCTCCCCCGTGACCATCCAACAAGACACCTCTGTGAAAAAAAGAAACGGTTCTCTCAAATTCATTGTCAAGAAAACTCGAATGGTTTACCACAAACTAAAGTGATCTTAATTATAAAATATACTTACGGAGAAATGCTGCCACCCCAGATCCTATTGCCAAGTATACAAATTTAAGAGAAATCTGCAGTTCCATCAATCACACAACCAAAGAAGATTATTGTAACTTCTAACAAGGCTTCAAAACTTATATTTGAACATTCTATTCAATCAGAATTGGAGCTTCATATCAATAAAAATAATCCACACAATAAAATTTGAAATTAAGGATCAAAATATATTAGCAAGATGAAATTCCAAAAAAAACATGTTACTGTGTAAGTTTTGTCCTTTAGTAAATGAACAAAAATCTCAGTAACCAAGCATGACGCGTTCGTTATGATTAGTTATAGTGCCATGGTTTTACCTTGGATACTACTCCCACCACGTCGTTTTGCTGGTTACTGCCGAAACCATTGATCAGTTGACCGAACAGCAGTGTCATGATAGGCAAACCCAATCCGTTTCCAATGGCACCAATGATGCCAACAGCCATCAAGAGAATGTCAGTGGTGTCTGCAAAAACGAACAGCTTGTGAAATGGAACTGTCTCTTGTTTTTCCTTTTCTTTGCTCTTTTCGACCCTTTCCCCGCTCGTGCTGCTTCCTGCACCATTCTCTGACGCGTTTGCGTCATCATGTTTTTTCTCCTCCCCATTCTCCCCAGCCATGTCAGATCACTGCCTTCTACGCTCCAACTATTCAAAATTAAAAATAAAAAGCAATTTACAATTTGAAAAACACTAACACCTCAAAGCATCGCAGAAGCTAAACTTATTATTATTATTATTTGTTAAAAAAAAAAAAACTAAAAAACACACTACACTACAAAAGAAGAATCCGTGCGAGTTGTTTGGAAGCAAATCAAATTGTGGGAGTCAATTAGCATATTATGGATTCACCAAACGTATGACCGCATGAAAACATGAAGGACTCGGAAACGTGAAGCAACAAACAGAGCAGATTCGATACTGAAAGATTGAAAAGCATTCAGCTGCAACCTATGCCTTCCAAAGTGAGATTCGTTGACAAGAGCAACAAATATAAACACGATGAAAGTGCTGTGTTAATAACCGGAACAAAACTTTCTACGCAAACATGGAGACGGTGGAGATTGCAGAAACAAGAAGGAACACGCGCTTGAATTCGCGGATCCAGACAAGAAAAAAAAAAAAAAAAAAAAAGG